ACACTTCGACACTGACAGAACGGATGGGCCGATAATTGAGAGGGTCGGAATGAAAAGTATGGAGAGTATTATATTAATTATACTATTTTTTTCTTTCTTTTTGTTTTTTCACTTTTCATCGTGCTGCTGCTCGTTCGCTTCCGCGCAACCACTTTTTTGTCGGATTATTCCCGTGTACTGCGCTTTATAGCGCGAGCTTCCCGATGTGTGTACGCACAGTCCAAGATATTTCGGTAAAAGGTAATTTTTAGAAAGAAATATCTCCCGCGATATGGATTTCATCCACTTTTGTTGTATATTTTAATCATTTAATTTCCATACAGTAAATCTATATGTTTCAAACGGATTCATACGCGCTTACGTCAATCTGTTTTTTTCTAAATGTATTTATCTATCTGAAAACAATTAATTAAAATTAAATTATGATAAATTAAAGACAGCCGAGTTTTAAAATTAAAATCGGATGAGGCATTTTCCCAAAATATTAAATATTCACACACAGATTTATGTTTACAACGTTCGTATTATTTATTCAAAATGTTGACGCGCGCGCTTTACATAAGACTTATTGATATTTTTTACTCTATATTTTTGTTTTCCTCTTTCTTCTTCCGAGTGCGCATCTACTTCGTCTCAAATGAGGAGAGTGCAGCAGAAATAAACGAACGAGCCCATAGCCTTATACGGCGGCCGAAAGTCAGAGGTAAGTGACCGGCGGCACCGAGCCGTGGACGCCACGTTACACACGCACACGTGTCTCTCTTTCTCTCTTTCGTCCTACAAGCGTCCTTTCTGCTCTTTCGCGCTCGCGATGCCGTCTCTCCGCACACCGGTTTACTCTTTCGCTTTGGCGAATCCGCCGGTCTGTCGCTCCCTTTCGTCCCCTTATCCTTTTTCTCTTCCCCCTCGTGTGCGAAATGATGCCATCTACGACGCAGGGATGAGAGTGTGTACGTGATCGCGGGCACGTTTCCTACGCATGACGCTCCGAGTTGGCTCGTACGTGATGCATTCGCGTTGCATCGAGTGTCGAAGCGTCCGCATGCAGATGCACTCGTCTCTGGAATTTCAATTCGGCCGCGACACGCGAGATCGAATCGTTGCTCGAACTCGGCAAGCATAAACGCGAGAAATTATCAATCCCGCGAGATAAAGCCATCTAAAGAAGAATCTTTACTCGGCCGTAAATGATGAAACAACTCAAAATTAGACAAACTCGATCTCAGAGTTAAATATGGCAAAATTATTTTATTTTTTTTCAGGACAATTTTTGTGTTTTTTTAATATCTTGCTTGTTTTAAATGAACACTAAATTTAATTTTATAACATATATATTTATGAAATTAATTTAATCATTATCAGAATAGAAGACGAACATAGTAAGTTAATATTAATATTAAATATAATGCGCAATAGGCTACAGGTACAGAAAATGACGCAGGCAATTTTAAGCTATCGAAAATCGTCTATCAATTGATTGGTCTATTAATTGATACACGACTTGGTGGTAGTTGAAATGTCCATATTATTATCTATTCCTGTTGCCTATTGTGCATAGACCTTAATATTTATTCCTGTTCCTAATATTTCCTCCATTGTGCGCAGGGCTTTATATATTCTAATAGCGAATTTGGTCACGCACACTTAATTAATGCACGTTATACTACTATACATGAAATTATTGAAATATAAAGATACATAAATATTTCAAACGATTGTACAAATAGACAATAAGTTTGTCATATTATTTAATAGAATATGCATCAATGATATCAATATCAAAGAGATAATATTATGCTATTGTATTTAGATTTTATAGCAGTCTTTAATCCGATTGCATTAATTCGATGTAATACAGATAATCAAATTTGCTATAAAATTCATTCTGCTCTATCTTTGAATTCGTATTAAATTTCTCACATATTAATTACATGGAAAAAAAACAATTTTACTGAAGGATCTAAACATTTGGCCAGATTTAAAAATAATTTTGATGGATCATCAAAATAATTGTGAGAGTATAAAAATGAATTATTAGAAATTGGTTCAAACTGATTGCTAAAACATAAAAAAATTTTGCAATATTATCATCATACTTGGATATCCTATATAATAATTTTGATGACTCAAAAAAATTACTTTCAGATCTGTATCTTATTTTGACTCTATCGACTATCTAAATTTTTAGATTCTTCAGCAAAACTATTTTTTTTCCGTGTATATTTATTTACATATCTTACGTAAAACGTCTTTAGTAATTTAGCTCCTCAGCGCGACCAAGAATCTACGTTTTTCCGAGACTTCAAAAGAGCGTTGCCAATTAGACGGCAATTTAATTCACGAATTATTCGATTAAAACCGCTTTTGACTATCAAAATTTTCTTGGAGAAACCACCCTCCGTCGTTCGTACGCGGCAGTTGCGAATGCATTCGGGAAGCGAAGGGGAAACCGACGCTTCGCACGCGAATTAATTTGGATCGCGGGGCGCCGGTTGAGTTGGCCGGAAACCGAAATGCATTCTTAGAGTCCGTCGGTCCTTCCGCCGTAAAATCCGCTCGCGCAGTCGCCCATATCGCACGATTTATTTCCCTTGGCGACCGCAATATTCCTACCGCCTTCACTGCTGGACTTTAAGGGAACAGTCACAGGCGAGAGCTATGGACCCAGTTCCTTCGCGAAACTTTAATTTCTCACGATCTCGCAAAAGTCTCAATGGCGCCGTCTCTCTACTGCTGGATGTGTGCAGCCGTACCAAAAACTTTTTAGCGACAATGGCGCGTGGTGTAAATGTCTACGTCTACAACGAGCCACTCGGTTATTAAACCTTAGGGCAGAAATGTTCTTTAACCCATTCAAACTTGTTTGCCCTTTATAATGACGAGGAACGGGAGACGGGGAAATGCAAATTATTAATAAATGCCAAAAATATTCTTGCGGTTAGAATTCATAGAATTATTTCGTGCGGATTAAGCGGATTACGTACGTACATATATATTGTCATATCGATCGATTCGGTTCATCAGTTTAATATTTCACAGAAACATTCTGGCCAAGTGTAATTGCGTGGGAAGCACGAAAACGTTTTTCACTGCTAAAATTTTTACGACAGGTGGATAAAACTATCCGAGCAGGGGAATAATAAAATAGATATATATACAGTGGCGGAAAAACTAATGGATTTTAATGCGAGCGTTTAAATCAGGCCATTTATTTACTTTTATTCGCTTTTATTTATTTATTAAATAACAGCAATTAAAAACGCTGCGCGCTAACTGTGGCAAAAAAAGATACCGTACGGTGATATATTCGTTAAAAAGTCACACATCCACCGAAACGTGAAATGATTTCGCCCTTCGAAATCTGGACATTTGACTGGCGTTGAGATTTATTCCGTCTTTTCATCCGCGTCAATCGCGATAAAATTAATTTCGTTTGTTTCGACGATTACCGTATTCGATCGTTTACCCCTCGTCGCGGGATCGTCGTTTATTATAATCGTCATTGGATCCGTCTCCCTTTCGACTCGGCTCTGCGTGTTTGCTCGAATTAGCATTATTATTTTCCGACGCTTTTTTCTGTCCCCGCCGTTGACAATTACGGATTACAAGCGATAAATTAAAGCTCGGCTTAATTACGAGCTTGCGTGTCATACCGACTCGCGCGAACGTTGCACGGCATGCGTTAAGGGTGTGGGGAAGGGGGCGAAATATAAAGAGAAGGGTGGAAAAGGAAGGAGGAGAAGGATAAAGCAGCGGCTGCCTACGTTGAAGCGCTGTTTGCACAATTTTTTTTTTCTCTCATCTAGCTGGATTAATGCGTAAACCGAGCAGCTCATGAAGAAACGGCGAGCCGTGCCGCGTGACAAATAGTCGTCGGACGCGCGAGTTGATTTGAGTACCGCCCGTTTTTCCTCCTCTCCTCCTTCTTTTTTCTCTCATTTTGCATCGCAACTCTCGCTACCTCACGTCGCAGCGCTTTGGCGAATCCGCAGGAGAGACGAGATTTCGCGACAGAGAAACAGACGCTTATTACCGACGGTAGCAGCGACCAGTCCGCATGGACTTATCCAGGTGAAAAATCGCGTTTCCCGCGGTCTCCTGTTTTTCATAATTTCCGCGTTGTCGCCAATTAAATCTTGGCACTTGCAAAATTGGGTCCGCGCTCTTTACACTTTCATGCCGCTTTTGTGTACTTAACGCGAGAAGTACAAATGGACCGTGGAATGAGGGAGAAATAAAAATATAACCGCTTTAGATTTTAGTTTTGGGAAGGAAAAGAGAGAGAGAGAGAGAGAGAGACCCCGGACAACGGAAAATGCGGTTAAAACGAGGCGGCAGCTAATTTCTGTCCGTTTTCCACGTAAGTTTCGCGCGTGTATTCGTAATGAGATTACCGCAAATAACGGCGGAACATTTGACATTTGCCGGGATATGGAAGATTGATATCGCGAGACCGCGCGCGCGGAATGGACATACGTCGTCGAGATCAACGAGGCCGCGTGAATCTTTTAGCGAGGAGTTTATATTCTTCGCGAGAACGGATTGGCGCTACGAACATCGCTAAATATCATTCGCGGTTAGTGGCATGGATGTGCGCGATAGTCACATACGCGCCGAGTGCATCGACCCCCGAGGATAAATCGAGAACGGCGGGATGAGTG